ATTGGCAGGAGCCAGAGGCTGCTTCTGTTATTGCCTGGGGAGCAGCAGGTGGCACTTAAATTGGAGAGATATGTCCATCAGGAATCAAAGCACTGATGGGCAAATCTCAGACTGGCAAGGCTTTGGCATCAGAATGTCTCTCAGTACTGCTGTGCCTTTACATGTTTGTAGCTGCCATTTGTTTCTCTGGTATTAGCATGGTGGGAATGAGTGTGGGGCATTCCCCACTGCCTTTACTACCGTGTTATTTTCTCATGGAAGCTGATTTCCCCTTAAGATGTGCTGTTTAACTGAAGTGATGGTTTTATGTAATAATAGTGTTCCTTTAAATAGAATTTTGATAATTCAGGGTTGCTAAAAAATACAGTGAGCGATTGCAATAGAGGATAGTTTAGAGAGAAAATTGATGTAGGTGTAGGCAGGATAGTGTTGCCCCTCCCCCTGAAAAAGCAGAGGCTGCAGAGGATAAAAAATAAGAACAAGGTAGTTTTAAACAGCTAGTATCTATGAGTTTCTCTTGAAGAGCCTTATAGACTGTGGTTTGGGTTAAAGAGTAAGGAAAATGATCAAGTCCCAGGAGTTAACACAAGTTCTTTTTGATATTGGAAAATGTGTTCACTGGTTTCAGTGTCCATCATAGCTAAAACAAAGCATCAAATAATGACTTCTTGTGGCTAGAAAAGAAAGAATTGGATGATTAGTTATGGTAATTGGACTGGACTCTGAAATATGAAAAGTGAAACTAGTAACTCGTTTTTCTGGCAATTATAAAAACTGCTGCCAGGGGCTAGAGTGATAGCTCAGTGGTTAAGAGCACTGACTGCTCTTCCATAGGTCCTGAATTCAATTTCCAGCAACCACATGGTGGCTCACAACCATCCATCTTGTGCCTTCTTCTGTCGTGCAGACATACATGGAGGCACGATGTTGTATTCATAATAAATAAATAAATCTTTAAAAAAAGCACTACTGCCTATGGAGCCAGTTATGGCTAAAAGGTTTTTCAGTTGTAATATGGAAAATGCTTAATCATATAAGAAAAATGGGAAACAGGTTGTTTTTTCCTTGTATTCACAGTAATAATTCAATTAAAAATATAACCATGTTGTAATTTTCATATTGCTTGAACATTATGTTGTAATATATAAGCTATATGAGAGAAATAAAGAGGACAAACGGAAATTTTCAGGAAAGATGGAGATAGACGTGTAGTAGTGACCAGCCCCCCATTTTTGCAGCCATGACAGGCTACCATGTGCTTGCATGATCTTGCCACTCCTGTCCTGGTCACTAAGGTCAGATGCCCTCCTTGTGGCAAGGAAGCAATCAGAAGTTATCTGGCAGTGCTGTGCTTATGGCTCTGGGTGTGCTTTACAGACAAGTGCACGACAGTGATGTGCAGAGCATAGCAACCACCCTGGGAGGGCCCATGGGCCATAACAACCAGTTGACCAATCAGCACAGGGCAGGTCACCCGAACCTGGACATGCACCAATCCTGAGACTGTTTCATACCCCTAGACACTCCCCTTATGCTGCCTTTAAGATCTCTGCCTCATGGGTTCTCAGGGTCTTTCTCCAGCCATCTGCCATGGTGGATGGATGAAGGGCCCAAGCTAATGGATTAGCTTGTTAAACAACTACAATAAAAGACTCTTTGCGTTTGCATCGAAATGGGTCTGTTGGTGATTTTGGGGTTCAAAATCTGGCCACAACAGAAGCAGAGATGTAGAAGGAAGACGCCCACCAGGAAGTGGAGAATGGAGACATGATGAAGGAGTTGGAAGTTATCAGGAAAGAGGAAAAATGGAAACTTCAGAGTAGAATAGAATGAAAAAAAAAAAAAAACCAGAACAAGCAACAGAAAGAATAATCTTATTAAATGTTGGGGCCCGAGTATGATATTTTGATATAAACCTTAGCTCAATTCCAGGAGCTCTAATCTCCTATTGTCTTTCAGATGTGGGCTAGTTACCTCCAGATGGCCTGGCCACAATGACTTCTAGTTTGCATACAAATAGATCTAGGCTCCTCCTGTCCCCATCATGGGGGCTACTGGGACATCCCTGGGGGCCAGTGAGACATACCTGAAGACATGGTTGACATGTGTTATGGGAGGTCTGAGGATTTGTGTACCTGCAGTATAGGACCATCTCTAGGGTTAAAGGAAGTGTTTCCTAGTCAGCCCTGTATACATGATAATAGATGTCTTCTGCCAGTACCTGGCTTTTAGAAAGCTATTTAAGAGGATACTTGAATAAGCCTATGTCTCCAGTATGGACTGAGAGCCCTTCTGAAATGACTAAATGTCTCTGTCTGGTTCTTAAATTGTTGGGTAACTAGGACTTCCCTGATTCACACTGCCCCACTCAGGGTGGGACCAGTGAGTGTTTGGCTGGTTCCAAACACAGCCCCAAAGACATCAGTCCAGGACAGATGACTCCTGTAGCTGTAGCAAAGGACTGATATAGGCTGCATCCCAGCAATGACAAAAAGCTTTTATCCCTCAAAAAAGAAGTCTGTTTGTTCTTGCTGACTCTGCATCTTGTTCACAGTCTCTCTGACCTGCAGAAAACTGGACCCTCTGCATGTTATCAGATGTGTTTTCCCCTTTGAACAATTAGTGTTTGTTTTTAACCCTTGTAAGACAAGTTTTCATTTGGCCAGTATTGTCTTTATAGCTAGGCCCTGTAACTTGGGCCCTTGAAATCATGTTTCCAAATCCATGGAACTCTGTAGGTCAGCTTCAGCTACATTCCTTAAATCATTTATTTCTAGTATCATTTTGGTCCCATTGTCCTGGTTTGGAAGGAGCAAGGGCTCTTGATGGAACATTTTTCATCTCTTTCTGTAGACTCCTTTGTACTCGTTGGAGTTACTCTTCTTTTTCTGTCCTTGTCCATCACTGATTCTTTCCTGGCTAATGAGATCATAATTAACTACCAAACTTTTGGGGGTCAGTCTGCTTTAAGTATGATAGTAAGATTGTCACAGGGTTCACTTCATTTTCACTAATCAAGTGCTGTGCTGTTTTTGAACTCTGATGCTTTGAAGTGTTTATGGTTGAAGGGCTCAGCTCTGTGTTCAGAGCATGTGCTTCTCAGCAGGATTTCCTTCTTATTGATAAAATCTTGTTCCTTTCTCTTGGCATTCTTGTAATATTTATCCCACATTTGAAGAGAAGTTTTATTGTTTGTTCTGGAACTCAATGCTTACACTTCTGAATGTGTGAATATTTTATTGCAGGGATTAGGGTAGCAATGGGATAGATGTTTTTGTGATTCTGCACTGCACAAAGAATTTTCTATCTGGAATATATGGAGCCTCATCATTTGCTAGACACAGTTTTCCTTTTGCCTTGCTCTCATCTGGAGACTTGGCCACTTGTAGCTATATCTGCTGTCTTCTTTGTAAAGTGGTAACTATTCTTTTCACTCTTTGCTGTTAAAACTTGAAGAACTAGTTATAGGACTCTTTTACATCAGAAAGGTAACCTGTGTCTTGTAGATACGGTCACAAGAGAGAATACCCTGGTTTTTCTTAATAAAAGCATGCCATCTACATACAGAATATACACTATGCCTTGAAGGATTCTTCCCATTGCTAGAATACTACTAGCAAATCATACCTGAATCATCTATGATATCAGATTAGGATAGTCTTGTTTTTAAATTCAGAATTTTACTCTACCCATGAGAAATTTACAGGGTATGCCACGATTATAGACCTAGATTCTTAGATCCACTGAAAAATCATTCACTGAGTATCTCACTGTTCTCTGAACTGGGGATACATGAAGAGACATGGTGTCTGTCCAGGATGAACATAATATAGGTGGAGTAAACTCTCCTGAAAGTGCAAATGAGTTATACAACCTTTCACAATTCTATGAACTCCATGTCATTTGCTGCTTCATTCCTAATGTTTAGGATTCCAGTAATATGATAGGATAATTGCAATAGAATAGGTAATTGCAATAGAAGTAAAACCTGATTGTGGTATGATGGCACATGGCTGTGTCAGAGCAGTAACTGAGATGACCTCCAGATAAAGTTGGAGTTTTGTAACTCCCACATTCATACTTAACTAGCTTTCTTATTCAATCCAGGATCTCCTTTCTTATTCAATGCAGTGACATCATAATATAGAAGGGCTCACTCTGCAGTGGACAGCACGGCAGGCATGGTCAATTCTGTGTCAGGTCAGTCAGCATGCTGTGGACAGGACCATATTACGGACTGAAGGTTGAGCATTCCTACATCAATCACGAATCAAAATACACTCCCAGACTTACCAGTAGGTCAGACTTTCCTCACAGAGAACTCTAGGCTTTGTCAAGTTAGTGACTGAAGCTAAATCCTTTAAAGACCCCCCCCCATGAATGCATGCATTCATCTACAGATAGCACTTATTTTGTGGGGACAAGAGACCTTGGCCAGAGACCCACTTCCGCATCAGCCTGGGACCAGGCAGCTGTAAGACAATGTTAACTAAGAACATGTTTACTAATAACAATACAATGCCCGGGGCAATAAGTTCCTGAAAGGGGCTTGCCCATGGGAACCACCCTGACCTCGACCTTTTCCAAAGACTATCTGCCTCTTCTGACACACCCAAGTCAATCTCTGGTGTCAGAGCAGATCCAGCCTGTGGTAAGGCAGGGAGCAGAAGCCTTTCTGGAGGGAAGCCTTTCTTGGGAAGTTTTCTTGAGCCTTTTTGGGGTCTGCTTAAAGTTTTCTTTACATCGTTGACTGGTCTCTGTGTCATCAATCCCGACACCCTCCACACATTCTCGGATACAGGCTGCGAAATGGGCTCAGCATTATTTGACTAACTGGGTTGTTAAAAATAAAATGAAAGTATGGGAAGTTGGAATTGGAACATATTGGGTGAGATCCAGTGGGAAGAAGGAATGTGATGATGAGGGAGGAATGTAATATTCCACTGAATCAAGGTAAGTATTTCTGAATGAAAATGAAAGAAAATTAAGAAAACAAATTGTGAGTTGTAGGGACATTTCAGAATTGGTATACAATATGAGGTCAGTGCTTTTGGGACTGAAATAATTTGTGGTGTTGTCTGGCATGTGTACTTTACAAGTGAGGGGAAAAGGAACCTTTGACAGCCCAAGTGTAATAGAAAATGATGAAATAGAGTGATAATGTCCAAGTCAGTTGAAATGAAGGAAATCCTGGAAAGTCTCCCTTGTTGTGATGCACTGGAGGAGGTCCATGTGTCTGTTCTCCCCACCTCAGTTACTCCCTTTTCTTTTTTCCAGTGCTACCAAACTTCTGACAACAAAAGAGACAGCACTTTGTGGTGATGAAGATCGCAGTCACCACACAGGCAAGCAGGAATCCAATCACGTCCAGAGAGTGGTACTGGAACCAGGTGAGGTCGTGAGCTGCCACACGAAGGTGCTTGGCTCCTTTGTTGCGCATGACGTACTCAACCCAGAAGACGGCTCTGTCCAGGGGCTTCACTGGCTGATCGTGGTGAATTCTTGATAGCCGCATGGCATTCTCTTTATAGCTAAGGATAAATGTAAAGGAGAAGCATGAAAATAGCATTAAACACCAATCAGTTAACTGAAGAGCATCAGGCTTGTGAAAGGTCAGAGATAGAATAATGAGACCGAATCCTGTCATACAAGAACAGTAGGAGAGGTAAAGCTTGGGGTGGGGCATGGTTGAAAGTTAGCTGCAAATTGGTATTCTCTGAGAAGTCCTTTTCAAAAATGAAATGGAAAACTATTTTGAAAGTAAACCTTTTTGGGATATGGTTGATATTAATCCATTCCAATCATGGTAAGTGAGATAGTCGAATACAGAGTAATCAATCACGTTGATGTTTTTGAGGACTGACTGACTGTGCCATGAAAAAATAAAATACATATCACTGATTGAAAACAGATGAACGATGAGAAAGTTACATGATATAAGTACTAGGGTGGAGCTCATTGATAGAACACCTAGTAGCCTGAATTCAACCCTAGCACTGCAAACAAACAAACACAAAACCCAAATATTGCCTGCTAGGCATTCAGAGAATTAAAAAATACATTTGTATGTGCTGTGTGAGTGTGGAGAGGAGATGTCAGTTTGTAGGAGTCAGTTCACTTCCTCCACCATATGAATTCCAGGGATGGAACTCAAGCTGTTAGAGGGGTAAAGAACCTTCACCCACTCACCCATCTGGGGATGCCATAAAGTGGAAATCTTACTGAGATTGGTCAGAGTGTAATGTTGTATGGATATTGTGAAAAACTTAGCACATTCCTAAATATACTGAAAACAGAAATGCCCCAAGTTGAACTTTACTACTACTAGAAGTCTTATAGAAGAAACAGTAAGCAAAATATCAAATAGATACTGCCAAGCCCATGGCTATTGCAGCACTAGCCATAATAACTAATTGGAATTGACTGAGATGCCCTTGGGGACAGTGGATAAAAAGGAGGTATGAAAACACTGAATATGTTCATTATTGTTATACTATAAAAATAATAAAATATTGTATAATATTGGTCAGCCATTGCAAAGAAGGAAATTTGCAGTAACAAGATGCAATTGGAGGATATTTTATTAAGTCATACAAAATAAATGAAGTTATTGTTGAGGAAATTTATCTTGAACACTGAAAATTAAAAGAACACTGTACTCACGAAGGGTCAGTAGTGACTGTCTTTACGGCATTGAGCAAATCTGTACTGGACATTGTGAGAAAGTCCAGTCTAACACCCGCTCCCTTGGTCTTCATGTGAACAACATTATCAAACTGGTCTCCAAACAAAGGAATGCCAACCACAGGGACCCCGTGGTAGATTGCCTCATAGAGGCCATTGGTGCCACCATGAGTTATAAAAGCTCTGGTTTTAGGATGACCTAGCAAGGGGAGAAATTAAGGGCAACTGTTAATCATAAGCCTGAGAAAGAAATGAGAGGCAGGGGAAAAGCATACAAAAGGCAAATATTCTCTAGATGACATTGTCATAAGCATAGGAGTGCACTGAATTACCCTCATGTCTTAGACAAAGGAGTATCCCAAGTCCCTGAAGGATTATAACAGGGTACATAGGAGAGGTGGAGTGGGGAAGTAGAATGATTTTGTGATATGGACTAAAAGGGAAGAGCTCCTCCGAAGTGGAGCAAACAGCATGTTCAAGCACAGGCAGTGGTTTGGGAGAATGTGCTCTCCTACAGAAACAGTAAAGTTAATGCTTTGCATGGGTTGGCTCCACACAATAGGGGCTGGGGTCATTTTGATGAAATCAGATTGAGGAGACTTCATCATGTGTAGTACCATCTGATGTGCGGGTCTGTGGTGGAGCACAGTAAATGAAGAGTCGTTGATGAAAGAATACCATTCCTGCTGACATTAAAAATTTCCCTACAGTAGGGGAAAGAGTAGATGTAAGTTACAGAAATAGGAGGAACAAAGAAAGACTGACTTAAGTGTATCTGAAAGATAATTACAGCAGAGATAGAGATGGATTGTCCATCTCCATTGTCATTGTACAGCATATTCTTACCAGTTTTTCATTCATATTCTTCAGGACAAGATCATAGTTGTCATAAATGCATTAATATTGACATTCACCTTCCTGAGCAGCCATTCCTCATGTCTCAGGTGTTTCTGATGCTTACCGAGAAGGTCGTTCTGGGGGATCCATTTGTACAGCCTAGTGTTGGAGCCCAAGGTTTCTGGCTTCTTGCCTTCAAATCGCCAAAGAACCTGTTAATGTGAAGCTAACCTCTTATCACTATGGTTAAATATCAGTTACTCCTGCTAGAATTCTGGATAGACTAAGTAACAGTGGAGATAAATGCCCAGTGTCTAAGAGCCAGGCAGTGTGGATGGATGATGGGAACCATGAAGAATTCTACAGCCAGTATACAAGCACCCTTCACTCTCCTGCATTCATTCTTATTCTTGTCCAAGTTTCAGCATGCCACATTCACATTTAGTCAACAGCAACTTAGGGAATTTTAGGTTCAGTAATGTCAATCAGGAGTTAAGAAATGTATGAAAGTAATTCCAGTTGAATAATCCATCGCAGTCACTACTTCATATACCTGCTTTTGTTTTTCCAATACATATTTATAGCAGTTTTAATCTTCCAAATTGACTACAAGTATTTGTCCATGGTATCTGAATTAGTTCACTTATAATGCCTCTACCCATTTTTTTTTTTTTTTGGTTTTTCCAGACAGGCTTTCTCTGTGGCTTTGGAGCCTGTCCTGGAACTAGCTCTTATAGATTAGGCTGGTCTCAAACTCACAAAGATCTGCCTGCTTCTGCCTCTGAAGTGCTGGGATCAAAGGTGTGGGCCACCACAACCAGGCCTTATGATCCCCTTTATTAGAGGTATTTTATTAGATTAGATACTTGAAGTATGACACTAAGTACAGAGCATGTTCCCAAGTTGCCCTTGCCCCCTGTTTCAGAATTAACATGTCAGTCCCCCCTGCTGGAACTGAGGCTGGCAAATCCTGTCTTTTTTTTTTTTTTTTTGGAATAGCAGGGTAAACAGTACTGTGCTTAGGCCTATTTTAAAATTTTGGAGATCTCATTTGGCCAAGGAAATAAATATAAGGCTATCACCTAATTTGAAGTTTTTAAACTTATATTTTATGTTTTCCTTTTATTTAAATGGTATTTTTCCATGAAATATATTCTGCTTATGGTTTCTTCTCCCATAACTCCTTATCTCCCCTCCTATCTAAATCCATACCTTAAACTTCTCTGTGTTGTCAGGAAAAAAACAATAATCTAAAACACCCCTTTGGGGATCAAATGACCCTTTCACAGAGGTTCCCTAAGACTGCCAGAAAAATGAGATATTTACATTACAATTCATAATGGTAGCAAAATTATAGTTACAGAGTAGCAACAAAGGTAACCTATGGTTGGAGTCACCACAACATGAGTAACTCTCTGAAAGCATTTCCTAATGAGAACCACTGATCAAAAGAATATATAAAATGAAGGAAAAGTGAACAATCTAGAATAGTACAAATCGCATTTATAAAAAGGATTTATTTTTATTTTTGTGTAAGTTAGTATGTTTGCATGTGTGTGCCTGCCTGTCTGCCTGTGTTTGTGTGTGTGTGTTTGTGTGTGTGTGTGTGTGTGTGTGTGTAAGTGCATATGTATTGGAAATATCTGTGGGTGTCATCTGAGGCCAGAAGAGTGCTTTGGATGCAGTTACAGATAGTTTTGAGCTGCCATACAGTGGGGCTCAGAAGTTCAGGTCTTCTGTGTGAGCAACATATGCCCTTCCAGAATGTTCCTCCTCTCTTCTCCTACCAATGTCAATTTTCTGCTTATTGCTACTGGTTGTTACTGGTTAAAATTTAATAGTGGTCTGATTACACTGTGCAGAATCACTAGTTTCCTTGAGGAAAATGGAGGAAATAACAAGGCATATTCTGTCATCTGCCTATAATGACTTCCTAACACCAAGTGCGCAAACACTTGTTATCAACAAAATGCCACCCAGAATTTGGCATCTGTCCCATTTATTTCTGTGTCACAGGTGACTTCAGAAGTGAGCTAGAGCTATTACAGCAGCTTCAGTGTCACACAGGTGGTCTCTGCAGTCACACCTGACCAGGATGTGACCATCTTAGTGAGGATGAAACAGTGAGGCTGTATCTCACCTTCTGTGGAATCTGGGCGAGGCCTGCTGCAATCACATTGGCCCTTTCTTCTGTTAGGTTTCCCACCATGGACCCCAGGGAAAACACCACAACACCGTGTTCTCCAGATGACTGGACGAAGTCTTCTATGTCCTTGTAATGAAATATCAGCCCATCACAAAGAGCAGCAGCACCAAATCTCCTGCATAAAAACTGACACCACCCTCCACTGGAAGACACTGAGCAGCATTAGAAATGTTAGAGAAGTGGGTGCTTTAAAACTATTCACATCCACATATAAGATGTAGAGTTGCAGCCAACTGCATAGTTACAATTCTGTTACACGTATGTATGTGCTCACAGAAACAGTCTTGGAACACAGTCATCTTTTGTTTTCCATTTTCATCTTGAAAAATATAATTTGTAGTAAGTAAGTCCAAAGTTCTCTTTTCCCTTTCCAGCCTCTAGTTTACTGTAATTTATCTTTATGCTTCCATGATTTTGACTGATTTCTAGCCCCGTACGTGTCCCTTATTTTCTCCTCCTTCTTCTCTCATTCTTCCCAAGTCTACATATCTCCTCCAATTTATACTCTCTGCCTGCCAGCCCTGCTTATCTTTTCTCCGTGTAGTTACTGGCTGTTCAGCTCTTTATTACATCAGTTATGTGTAATAAAGTAGAAATGAATGCAACACAAAACAAATAGAAGCACACCTCTACATAAAGTACCATTCTGCAGCACACACAAATAGAACACATCTTCACCTAGAGAAAGTAATATTCCTGAACACATCTGTAAACATCGCTGGCCTGCACAGAACTTAGGAATCTTCCCACTGCTTTCAGACTTCTCAGCTACTGTACGTCTCAATTAGCTTTGAAACAGAATGCAGTCTTGGGCATAACAACACATTGTATGTTGCTGTCATTACACAACTAAAGTGGTGGTTTCCAGAGACAATTCTTTCTAGAGCAGAAAAAAATTCACTTTTCTTGCATCATGAAGTGTCATGTTAGTTAAAATCACAAAGCATTCCTCTGCACCTTCAGAGCGATATCATCCTGTGAGCTTACACAATTCATTTACAATCACTAAGGGCAGGTTTTAGTGACCAGACAGATCTTGAGTTTTCTTCACTAAGCAAGACTGTTTCTCTAGCTGTGCCCCATCTCCCCTCTTTACTTTTACTGCCAGGCCACTGGGCCTTTCCTCACTGTAACATCCCATAGTTTTCTTGCTGGCTCACAGTTTGTCTTCAGAGTAGAACTGCTGGTGTTTCTGGGTGAGCCTGTGCACACTTTGTTTCTCTGTATACTCAGCACTTTCCTGTGTGGTGTCCCTGTCACTTGTCTGTATGTTCTGCATGAATCACTGAGATTTTCTCTGTACTGAGTAGTGCTCTAACTATCCCTGTCCCTAGATATTCCACAGGGTCCATAAAGGAAGTTCAGACTCTTGTTTCTACTGGCCTGTTTCTTTATCTAATTTCTTGTGTCCTTCTGGAATTCGACACCAACCTTCTGAGGGAATGAAATGTATCATCCTGCCAAATGTGCAAGGCAAAGAGAAGCAAGCAAACAGGAATATATCTACCTTAGGCAGAGGCTTGGCAGGTCTGCAGTGCAGTCCTCCAACAAAATCAAAATTTGGTAAGAATGGGTGAGGAAATTCCAGATCCCAGTAGGTTCTGATGAGCCATATATCTGCCTTCCCCATCATCTCCACGAGTGTCGTGGGTCGTCCTGAAGAGAAATCAGAACAGTGAAGGTACAACAGGTGACAAAAATGTCAGGTGAAGATGAATAAATTAGGTAGTCTTCTGAAAGCATTTTTGATGATATAGACTGAGTTGTTTACAAATGTGTGGTTGGGATAGTGTGTGTGTGTGTGTGTGTGTGTGTGTGTGTGTGTGTCTGTATGACTTGGGTTAAGGCAACACATCTGTGACAACACACCTTAGAAATTCATTATTATCAAATATCTAGATATGCCACTGTAGAATAATCAAATGTCCTTTATATGTGAATCATGCTTGTCATACTAAAAGAAATACCTTTCTTGGAACTCTCCATCTAGTTTGCCTTGTTTAGCTGCTGGAAGGTTAATGTGTGTTCCTGTATGTGAACTGATAATCCTGTGCTGTTTTGTTTTGCTTTGAGATTTTCTGATGGATCCCAGGATTGTCTCTATGTCATATGTAGTCGAAGTGGACCTTGAACTTCAGATCCACTTCCAACACATCTCAACTGCTGGGATTACAGGTGTGTGCCATCATGTCCAGTGTAAACATTTGAGGGTATCCTGTTTTAGGATTTCATTTTGAGACAGGGACTCACTATATCCTCCTGGCTGACCTCCAGGATAATGTTGATTATGCCTGAGCTCGTTGTCCTGGTACTGTTCTTTAATTATGACTCAATGTATGTGTAAGAATGTCTGCAAATAATAAGTGATAATAAGTTCTATTATATAGAGACACTTATTTAATACAATATGTCCTTTAAAAAGACACAACTTCAAAATATGACCTGATGCTTCTCTGGACTTCCTCAGTGTCAGTTGTTATGTCCCACTTTTTATTTCTGATTTTGCTAATTTGCATGTTCATACTCTGCAGTTTGCTAAATTTGGATAAAAGTTTGACTGCTTTGTTGATTTTCTCAAAGAACCAACTCTTTGTTACACTGACTCTTTGTTTTGTTTTCCTAGTTTCTACTTCATTGATTTCAGCCCTCAATTTGATTATTTCCTGGCATCTACTTCTCCTGGGTCATTTGCTTCCTTTTGTTCTAGAGCTTTCAGTGGTACTGTTAGAAGAGAAAGTGGAAGGTACCCTTAAAGGAATGGGTACAGGAGTTCGCTTCCTGAACATAACAACATTGGCACAGACACTGGGATGGACACATTAGAAATGGGACCTCCTGAAACTGACAAGCTTCTGTAAGGCAAAGGATACAGTCAACAAGACAAAAAGGCAGCCCACAGAGTGGGAAAAGATATTCACTAACCCCATATGTAACAGAGGGCTAATCTTCAAAATTTACAAAGAATTCAAGAAGCAAGTCTCCAAAACTCCAAGGATTCAATTAAAGATTGACCTACAGAACTGAATAGAGAATTCCCAATAGAGGAGTCTAAAATGGCTGATGGACACTTATGAAAGAGCTCAACATCCTTAGCCATGCGGGAAATGCAAATCAAAACAACTCTGAGTTATCATCTTACTCCTGTCAGAATGGCTAAAATCAAAAACACCAAGGATACTTTATGCTGGAGAGGATGTGGAGAAAGGGGAATACTGACTTGACAGCCACTTTGGAAATCAGTATGGAGATTCCTCAGGAAAATGGGACTCAGTCTACCACAAGACCCAGCAATTCCACTCTTAGGCATATACCAAAAGATGTACATTTATACAACAAGAATGTGTGTTCCACTATATTCATAGCAGCATTATTTGTAATAGCCAGATCCTGGAAGCAACCTAGATGCCCATCAGATGAAGAGTATACAGAGAAAATGTGGTACATTTATACAATGGAGTAATACGCAGCAGAAAAAAAAATGGAATCCTGAAATTTGCTGGCAAATGGATGGCACTAGAAAAAACCATCCTGAGTGAGGTCACAAAAAGAGAAACGTGGTATGTACTCACTCATATATAGATTGTAGACATGGATCAGGGGAGTACCAGCCTACAATCCCACTGCCAAACCTTCATCGAGCGCCTGGTGGAAGCAGAGGAAGACACCCACAGCTTAACACCAAACTGAACTCTTGGAACCCAGTGACAGAGAGGGAGGAGTGATAAGCAAAGGGGTCAGGACCCTGATTGTGAAACCCACAGAGGCAGCTGACCTGACAAGGGGGAGCTCTTTGACCTCAGACTGATGGCTGAGAGACCATGTTGGACTGATCCAGACCCCCTGAATGTGGTGTCAGTGAGGAGGTCTCAGCAATCTCTGGGGCCTTGGGTAGTAGATCAGTGTTTACCATGGTGTACGAATGAACTTTGGGAACCCGTGCCACATAGAGGGGTGCTCTCTCAGACTCCACACATGGGGGAGGGCTTAGGTCCTGCCCTGGGTGAAATGACAGACTTGGAGATACCCATGGATGGCCTCACCCTCCCTGGGGAATGGTCTGGGGATTGGGTGGTGGGCTGGGGTGTTGGTTAAGGGACAAAGGAAGAGGGGACTGAGAGGAAGCTTGGATTGACATGAGAAGCATGCTTGTTTCTAATTTAAACAAAACATTTATAAAAAGTCACCATTTGAAACTCTAAAGCTAATAATTTCCATGTTGACACTTGAGCATTGTAGTATTTTAAAAGCTATTTACTTAATTATATTTGTGTGTGTGTGTGTGTGTGTGTGTGTGTGTGTGTGAATGTGAATGTGTGTAGACATCACAGGCCAGAGGATATTTGTAGGAAGGCGTTTATGTCTTTTCATTACTTAAGGTCTTCTAGATTTTGATAGAATGTGCCTTTCACTGCTGAGCCATTGCCATTTGCTGGCACTATTAAAGGTTTAAAAGAGAAGAATTTTAAACACCCTGGGACTGAACATGGATTCTCTAAAATCCTGCATTCGTAAACTTCTGTCTTAATACAGAGATGGTGTATGTCACAATTGTGGAGAAATTCATTATGTAAAGCCAGAAAATATTCACTTTTAAGCAAAATAACTAATTACCTAAGGAGTGATAAGTTCTCCATGCTGTAAAGTTAACTGTGATCTAAATATGTGTCAGTCCTCAATCTTTATCTCTGTCATTCTAGAATACATTGAATGAGTTAAAAACAACCATTTTAGAGGTCAGCCAAATGGGCCAATGGATTAAACCATTTGCTATGCAAGGTGGCAAACACACTTCCATCCTCAGAATATGTATAAAAGTGTAAAGAGAATAGACTCCACAGATTGTTCCTTGAATTTCACATGTGTCCTAATCACTGCACAAATAAAAAATACTGATAATAACGGTGGTAGTGATGATTATGTTTAATATGACTCAGGTAAAATTGTTCTAAAAGGTGAGATAAAATACTTAGTAAATGGCTATGTAATTGCTTAAAGAAACCCATAAATCATTGCTTTGTGAGTATATGCAATACTGAAGTGTCCTGTGCAAGTGATAGCCAAGGCTTTTCAATTTGGCATTGGGACATAGGTTTTTCCACAATGCATTGAATTTCACAGGTAATTTCGCAGACTTTTCACCATTTTGCTTAGGAGAGATAAATCCTGCTGCTGCCAATCCTATTCTTTCAAGTTCTCCTCCAATGACACAGCAAGTTGAGAATGCAACAATCCCAACTGAACAAGCACTTACCTAATACTTCACTGTAAAGCTGATTCCACTTCTTCTCATTAAATGTTTGGAACCAAAAGTCAAAACAAAGCACATAGATTACATTTTGTACCCTCTCCATGAATGTCATCCGGTCACTCAGTTCTGATAGAGCAGGTGGCACGTAGGAAGGAGGTAGGGGGAGTCCTCCACTGTACTTTTCATACGTGGAGCCAGGAAAGAAGCGGAGACTGAACACAAGTGGTATCTGGAGAATCTCGGCCAGCAGGTCACCACAGGGTACGAAGGGATCTGCCAGGATGACATCAAAGCTTGAATTGTGTAGTTTTGCCATGAGTTCCTTGTTGAAAACAACATCTCTGCAGAGACTTTCAGTATAATCTGAGACTATCCAAACCAATTCTTGCAACATTAAAAAGTATCTCCAATATGATTGCTTTGGCAGCTCATAAATGTGTTTATTGATGGATTCTCTGAAAATTTCCTGTAGACCATCCATGTCATATGATGAAGGGTATATTTCAAATTCAATGGCAGATGTGTCCTCGACTTTATAGGAAAAGGAAACTGAGGGTATCAGAACAGTCACCTCATGACCCTTCTTCACCAGCTCATCCAGGATTCTCTTTAAGTTGAGCCAATGGCTGAATTCCACTGGCCACACCAGCACCTTCCCCCCACTCCCAGATCCAAAGAAGCCACTCAGCTGTAGCAGGAGCAGGGCTGCTGTCATCTTCACAAACATCTTGGTTAAATTCAGAGCTGCCTTTCAAATGGTGATTGCTCTGCTCCTGCAGATATAGAAAGATTAATAATGAGTTAAAGTGTAACTTGTGCCCACAAAAGCAAACACACACACGATAGTCATAGCCTTTCGATGCTAAGTGCAAAAATCAGAATGCAGATGTGTACCTGTGAAATGATTCCTGCCTGATTCTCAGTGACCTTGAATGTATAACTTATAATGTATAATATATAATGTATACTGTACTGGGAGAACAGTGGAAAGTAAGAACTTTTTCTCTCTCCCTTGCCTTCTTCTAATGTAGCTTTCTTGATAAAGAACTTGAAAGAGAGACATAACTGTTGAGTCCCATTTTTACAAACATCACAGTTCAGTGTGTCTTCATATGAATGTTGGCAACAGCGATCATTTACCACAGTATTTAATTATTTTGGATATATGAGCCAGAGGTTCACAGCATAAACTCAGAATTCTAAATCCTGAAATTAAGTTTACAATCTACTTTATTCTATGTAGAAGCCCTGTTCTTTTAGTTTTTCCATTGGGTCTAGCTGCACCCAACTAGGACTCTACTCTCTTGTAACTAGTCAGCCCGCAGGAGTGAATGCATTCTAATGAGACACTTCTGCTTCCCTCCTTCACTATCAGACTATTGAAAGAATGGACCCCAAGAAATTACAAGTTTCCTGGTTACCCTTTGTTGGGAGAAGAAATGTCTGATGCCTTGGGGGTATCTAGGAGGAGTCTGTCCTCAAGAGGGCCAGTTACAAGCTAGGGTAGACTAGGCTTACTGACGACCAAGGAGCTAAGGTAATGGTAGTCAAGGGACCACACCATGGGGCACTGCTTATATATACACATGGCTTGTCAGAGTCCCAAGGATGGAGTTGTGTAAGGGTGATTGGCTCTCATTGTCTGTCTTTCTGAAGTGATCACAACGAATAAATCTAATTTTTTCTGCATTTCACTATTAATTTGGCTTATCTGGTTAGATTTTTTGTGTGTTTTCTGTGTGTGTATAACCTGGCATATTGGGACACAGGCTGTGATCCCTTAGTCATGTAGCACCCTTGTTTCCTTTCTCTGAGCTTTTCTTTGTGTAGCTGGTAGAAAATGGGTGGTACTTTGTGACTGACTTTGATGTTTACAATGTTTCCAAATACTGTCATGATGTAGGACATAGACAGTTTTGTTCTACATAATGTTAAATCTAGTTTGTAACACAAAGTCCACACTTTCTCATTTCTAATTTTACTGACATTAGCTTTGTTCCCAATTTTTACTACTATTGTTTTTTATTAATATTCATGTAACATATTTTTGTCCTGTTTTACATTTTGGTCTCAACGCTTTCCTATGTCCATGAATCATTTGCAGACATCACTAAGAACATAATTCCTTTGTTTCATTATTCCCTCACTGAGGCAAAATACGATTAGAAAAAGACCAGGGCCGCCCACACAGGAAAGACATCAGCGCTTCCAGGCCCCAAACTCCAGCGATCCCAACTTCAGGTGAGATTGGGTCTCCGGGTGGACACTCCCCATCCTCTGCCCAACACCCATCCCCTCGATCTTCCTGGGCCGCTCCTGGCATCCAGAAGACTCACCTACACAGGAAAGACATCTGCCCTTCCAGGCCCCAACCTCAGGCGACCCCAGCTTCAGCTTAAGCTTCAGTGTCAGTGTCCCCAGCTTCAGCTTCAGGAAGGAAGGAAGACCAGTGGAGACGGAAAGACCCCACCAGCACCCACTGGAAGAAGAGATGGGAAGAAGACAGAATAAGAGATCACTCAGCAATAGAAAGACCAACATGACTCCACCAGAATCTAGAGAACCAATGCCAGGAAGACCTGAAAAGCACTACATAGATGAAGCAGAGGAGACAGACTTTAAAAATTATTTTATGATGATATAGACCCTCAAAGAAGAAATGAGGAAATCCCTTAAAGAAATAGAAGCAAAAAGAAAAAAAATCCATGAAATGGGGGAAAAATTCAAGAAATAAACAAATCTCTCAAAGAATCTAAAGAGTACCAAGAAAAAACAACCAAACAAATGAAGGAAACAACTCAAGCAGTTGAAGGATTGAAAGCTGAAATAGAAACAATAAAGAAAACACAGAACAAGGGGATGCTGGAAATAGAAAAGCTGAGTAAATGATCAGGAACTATGGATGCAAGTATCACCAATAGAATACAAGAGATAGCTGGGTAAATGATCAGGAACTATGGATGCAAGTATCACCAATAGAATACAAGAGATAGAAGAGAAAATCTCAGGTGTTGAAGACTCATTAGAGGATATACAGTCGTCAACCAAAGAAAATCTCAAAACCAACAAATCCCTAGCACAAAATATCCAGGAAATATGGGACACCGTGAAGAAGCCAAACCTGAGAATAATAGGTATAGAAGAAGGCAAAGAAATACAACTCAAAGGTACAGAAAACATTCAACAAAATAATAGAAGAAAACTTCCCTAACCTAAAGAAGGATATGCCTATGAAAATACAAGAATCTTAAAGAACACCAAATAGGCTGGACCAGAAAAAGAAATCACCTCGCCATATAATAATCAAAACATCAAACCTACAGAATAAAGAGAAAATATTAAGAGCAGCTAAAGAAAAAGGCCAAGTAACATACAAAGGCAGACCTATCCGAATTACACCTGAAATGATGAAAGCCAGAAGATCCTGGACAGATGTCCTACAAACGCTAAGGGAACAAGGATGCCAGCCCAGACTACTATATCCAGCAAAGCTTTCAATTACCATAGATGGAGAAAACAAAATATTCCATGACAAAGCCAGATTTAAACAATACGTATCCATGAATCCAGCTCTACAGAAAGTGCTAGAAGGAAAATCTAGACCCAAAGAAAATAACTACACTCACAAAGACACAGGCAATATATAATCCCACTTTACAAAACACCAAAAGAAAATGTGAGGAGAAACTACACAAAATAACTTCACTACTAATAAATCAAACACAAACAAGAATCATCAATCAATGGTCATTAATATCCCTAAATGTAAACGGTCTCAACTTGCCTATAAAAAGACATAGACTAGCAGAATGGATACGAAGACAGAACTCATCCTTCTGCTGCATACAAGAAACACATCTCAACATCAAAGACAGATGTTATCTCAGAGTAAAGGTTTGGGAAAAGATTTTCCAATCAAACAGACCCAAGAAACTAGTGGGCTTAGCAATCCTATTATCTAACAAACTAGACTTCCAATTAAAACCAATCAAAAAAGATGAAGAAGGAAAGGAAAAGTCCATCAAGACAAAGTCTCAATTTTAAACATCTATGCCCCAAATACAAAGGCACCTACATTACTAAAGCTCAAATTGCACATAAAATCTCACACACTAATAGTAGTAGACTTCAACACTGTGCTCTCACCACTAGACAGGACCTCCAGACAGAAACTTAACAAAGAAACAAAATAACTAATAGAAGTTATGACCAAACTGGGTTTAACAGACATCTATAGAACATTCCACCCAAACACAAAAGGATATACCTTCTTCTCAGTGCCACATGAAACATTCTCTAAAATTGACCACATAATAGGAAACATAGCAAATCTCCACAGATACAAAAAATTGGAATAACCCCCTGTATCTTATCAGACCACCATGCATTAACATTATAATTAAACAATAACACAAATCCCAGAAACCCTACAAACTCATGGAAATTGAACAGTGCACAATTGCACCATCCCTGGGAAAAGGAAGAAATAAAAAAAGAAATTAAAGACTTCCTGGAATTCAATGAGAATGAAGACACAACATATGCAAACTTATGGGACTTTGAAAGCAGTGCTGAGAGGAAAGTTCATAGCACTAAGTGCCCACATGAAAAAACTGGAGAACAGTCATACTAGAGAATGAATAGCACAGCTGAATGTTCTACAACAAAAAGAGGGAAACTCACCCAGGAGGAGCAGATGCCAGGAAATACTCAAATTGAGGGCTGAAATCAATCAAGTAGAAACCAGGAAAACACTGAGAAGAATCAATGAAACAAAGAGTTGGTTCTTTGAGAAAATCAACAAAATAGACAAACCTCTGTCCAAACTAACCAAAAGGCAGAGAGAGCATGTAATTAACAAAATCAGAAATGAAAAAGGGGACATAACAACGGACTCTGAGGAAATCCAGAGAATCATCAGGGCATATTTTAAAAATCTGTACTCCACAAAATTCGAAAATTTAAAGGAAATGGACAATTTCCTGGATAGATATCACTTGCCAAAACTAAAGCAAGACCAGATAAACAATCTAAACAGACCTATTACCCTTAATGAAATAGAAGTAGTCATCAAAAGTCTCCAAAACAAAAAAAGCCCAGGCCCAGATGGATTCAGTGCAGAATTCTACCAGAAATTCAAAGAAGAGCTAATTCCAATACTCCTCAAAGTATTCCACACAATAGAAGCAGGAGGCTCAATGCCAAACTCTTTTTACGAGGCTACAATTACATTGATACCCAAGCCACACAAAGACACAACTAAGAAAGAGAACTATAGACCAATTTCCCTCATGAATATCGATGCAAAAATACTCAATAAAATACTAGCAAACCGGATTCAAGAACACATTAGAAAAATCACCCATCATGATCAAGAAGGCTTCATCCTAGGAATGCAGGGATGGTTCAACATTAGAAAATCTATCAATGTAATCCACCATATAAACAAACTGCAAAAGAAAAACCACATGATCATTTCACTGGATGCTGAAAAAGCCTTTGACAAAATCTAGCACCCCTTCGTGATAAAGGTCCTAGAGAGATCAGGGATAACGGGAACAGACCTGAATATAATAAAAGCAATATACAGTAAACCAACAGCTAACATCAAACTAAATGGAGAGAAACTCAACGCAATTCCTCTAAAATCAGGAACAAGAGAAGGCTGTCCACTCTCTCCATATCGCTTCAATATTGTACTTGAAGTTCTAGCTACAGCAATAAGACAACAAAAGGAGATCAAGCAGATACAATTAGGAAAAGAAGAAGTCAAGCTTTCACTATTTGCAGATGATAAGATAGTTTACACAACTGACCCGAAAAACTCCTCAAGGGAACTCCTAGAGCTGATAAACACCTTCAGCAAAGTGGCAGGATACAAGGTTAACTCAAAAAAATCAGACGATGAAGTGACTGAGAAAGAAATCAGAGAAACATCACCCTTTACAATAGCCATAATCAGCATCAAATATCTGGGGATAATGTTAACTAAGGAAGTAAAAGACCTGTATATCAAGAACTTTGAGTCTTTAAAGAAAGAAATCAAAGAGGATACCAGAAAATGGAAAGATCTCCCATGTTCTTGGATTGGTAGGATCAACATAATAAAAATGGCAATCTTGACAACAGCAGTCTACAGATTCAATGCAATCCCTATCAAAATTCCAGCACAACTCTTCACAGACCTTGAAAGAACAATAATCAACTTTATGTGGAGAAACCAAAGGCCCAGGATAGCCAAAACAACCCTATACAATAAAGGAACTTCAGGAGGCATCACCATACCTGACTTCAAGCTCTATTATAGAGCTATAGTCCTGAAAACAGCTTGGTATTGGCACAGAAATAGGCAGGTAGACCAATGGAACCGAATTGAAAACCCTGATTTAAACCCACACACCTATGAACACTTGATTTTTGACAAAGAAGCTAAAACTATACAATGGAAAAAAGAAAGCATCTTCAACAAATGGTGCTGGCAGAACTGGGTACTGGTATGCAGAAGACTGCAGATAGAGCCATGTTTATCGCCTTGTACAAAACTTAAGTCCAAATGGATCAAAGATCTCAACATAAATCCAGCCACACTGAAACCTTTAGAAGAGAAAGTGGGAGATACTCTTCAACGAGTTGGTACAGGAGACCACTTCCTGAACATAACACTTGTGGCACAGACACTGAGATCGACAATTAACAAATGGGACCTCCTGAAACTAAAAAGCTTCTGTAATGCAAAGTACACAGTCAACATGACAAAAAGGCAGTCCACAGAATGGGAAAAGATATTCACTAACCCCATATGTAACAGAGGGCTAATCTTTGGAGATTAGTATGGAGATTCCTCAGGAAAATGGGAATCAATCTACCACAAGACCCAGCAATTCCACTCCTAGGCATATATCTAAAAGAGGCAAATTTATACAACAAGGGCATCTGCTCCACTATGTTCATAGCAGCATTATTTGTAATAGCCAGAACCTGGAAGCAAGCCAGATGCCCCTCAACTGAAGAGAGGATAGAGAAAATGTGGTACATTTACACAATGGAGTATTACTCAGCAGGAAAAAACAATGGAATCTGTGGGAACACCAGACCTTGAGCAGAGACCCACTTTCCCTTCTGCCTGGGAGTAGGCAGCTGTAAGACAATGTTTACTAAAAACAATGCAATGCCTGGGGGCATTAAGTTCCTGGAAAAGGCCTGCCCACAGAAACCACCCGGACCTCGACCTTGTCCAAAGACTAACCACCTCTTCTGCCACGCTCAGATCAGTTTCTGGGGTCAGAGCAGAACCAGCCAGGGTAGAGGAGAGAGCAGAAGCTTCTCTGGTGGGAGCCTTTCCTAGGAAGTTTTCTTGAACCTTTTTGGGGCCTGCTAAAAGTTTTCTTTACATCGTTGAACGAGTCTCTGTGTTGTCAATCCCGACACCCTCCGCACGTTCTGGGACACAGGCCGCGCAGCAGACGCGACAGGAATCTTGAAATTTGCATGTAAATGAATAGCACTGGAAGAAACCATCCTGAGTGAGGTAACCCAGTCACAAAAAGACCAACATGGTATGTACTCACTCATATATGGATTTTAGACATGGATCAGGATAGTGCCAGTCTGTACTTCCACTGACAGAGAGTCTGGGAAACAGGAACGAACCTAAGAGACATGCATGGTACCCAAGAGAAGAGGAATGAGGCAAGATCCTCTGAACAGATGGGGAACACGGCAAGGGGTGAGGGGTCGGTGTGGGAGCTGGGAAGAAGAGAGTGGGAGAAAAGGAAGAGAGTGGGGGAACAGGAAGGTTGAGTGAAGGGGTAGAATAGGGGGAAGAGGGAATCATAGGTTAGAAGACAGATCAGGCACCAGTGTGACTTCTAGTGATCTAAAGGGATGATACCAATTGGCAAGCTAAGCAATAGTGGAGAGACCACCTCGAATGCCCATTCCTGATAATGAACTTGATATCTATAACCATTCTGGAGCCTTCATCCAGTGACTGATGGAAGCAGAGGCAAACACACAATTAATCACTGAACTGAACCCAAGGAACCCAGTGACAGAGAGAGAGGAGCAATGACCAAATTGGCAAAGAATGGGCTGCCAAAACCAGCAGGGACAGCTGATCTGAACAGGGGAGAGATTTTGGACCCCAGACAGACAGCTGGGAGGCCAGCATGGCACTGATCAAGACCCCCTGAATGTGAGAGTCAGTGAGGAGGCCTGGGCAAGCTATGGGGCCCTGAGCAGTGGATCAGTGTTTATCCCTGGAATGCAAAAAGACATCGTGTGTCCATAACACAAAGAGGGATGCTCTCTCAGCCTGGAATCTTAGGGGAGTGCCTGGACCCCACCCTGAGTGAAATGACAGACTCTAGATATCCCCTATGTTGAAGGAAATGGCAACAGGGTGGGAGGCTGGGGGGGGGTGGGGAGTGCGGGAGGAGGGGAGGGAGAGGGAACTGGGATTGACATGTAAAACAAGCTATTTGAAATTAAAATAATAAAAAAAAAGAAAAGAAAAAGACCAGGGTGCCCCTGCTTAAGCTTCTTTTGTGTCCTACACAAGCACCAAAAAACTATGAGATCCTATGTGGGCCTAACAAGATAAGCTGGGAGAGGAAACGGGGAAATTGGAACTGAGTTTACCCTGACCTGTGTTCTGAAATGGGAATCCTATGGAGCAAGTCGACACAGTTTTCCTGAGTAGGCTCAAAGACAGATAGGCACATCCGGTGAAACTCCTGGCCAGTCCTTGGCTTGAACAAGGAAGTAGGGTGCAACAAGGATCCCAGGACCTCTGTGATCAGGAAGAGTGGGCGGGGACTTCTCCCAGGACTTTGTGGGCGGTGACCTGGAGAAACTGGGAAACGCCCTTCCTGCTGGGCAGTTCATGTGTATCCCTTCTTACTTCTCTCTGATGTGTTACTCCATGAGCCTAATGATCAGGATCTTTAAAGTCTGGACAAGTGGCAGACTGTTTCCAAGGAGCTGCTGATGCTGCCATCCACAACACAATACAGCAGTATCTGAGGTCTCCCTGTGCACTCACTCTAATGTTTCTCTTTAGATCATAATCAGAGGAGGAAGCTCTACCTCACTGTGGATTTTAATTGTTTTGACCTGAACTTGGATGACCTCAAGAGTAATGAGGCTGACTATACTCCAGTACGTGTATTGTCCACCTGGAAACTCTTTCATGGAAAACGTTCATTCATATCCTCTGCCCGTATTTTATGGCTGGATACTTTTGGTCTCAGTTCAAGTTTGTTTTGCTTTTTAATCCACAGTCATCTCTGGTGTTTTCGTCCCACATTATGAATTTATGACCTTTCTTTATACAATGTTTAAGTGTGTGTGTGTGTGTGTGCGCGCGCGCGCGTACACGCGCGAGCCTGATCGTGTGTGTGATTTTCAAATGCTTTCTCCAGGTTTGTGATTTGTTTTTTCAGTACTTTCAATGATTTTTTTTTTAATGCAGGGAAGTTTTTGTTTTGTGACTGAATAATGAAGGTCACCACGTTGGTTTTAATGAAGTCACAAATTAAAATATATTTTTTCAAAACCAAACCAACCAAACAAAACAAATCTTACAACTCTTCCATGGATAGTTTTGTGATCCTTGTCAAATAGCAATCAAAGTAAAAAAATATTCTCTATCATTTTAGCAATCTCAAACAAAACATAATATAGCATTAAAATAATAAAACGACCATTAAACATTAAGGATTTATTGCCAATAATATGATCATGTGTATATAAAACTGTAGACATTACATATGCCAAAGAGCATAATAACAATGCAACAATTGTCTTTTAAATACAGATAAAATTCAAACCCAGATCAACAAAATCATGAAATAGTTATTTGCCAGCACTATAACAATGGAAATGGATAGGAATTCCAAACATGGTCAATTTTCCCTTAGTTACTAGTGATGACTGTCTAAAAAGACTCATACACTAATAAAAATCTGTTGATAAATATTGTATAAACAAATGCTAGACAGTCTATATTTCTTTATATTTAAAAAACATTCTGAAATAAACTGATGTGTTTTATGAAACGATACTTACATTTTTGCAAATTATGCTAAGGTAAATGGAGAGAGTCAGAAGTGTTTATTTTTTGCAAATGAGTACTTTCCAAATGAGAACGTTTTCTCATTTTGATAAAATGCTCTGAACTATCCCAGCCAGCCTGCTGCTGTCAGAAACGCTGCTCTCTCCTGCCCCAGCAGGAAGGCTACTAGCACTTCATATACACTTTTACCTATGTTATTGATACTAGACCTTCCCTTAGGAGACTAAATGTTTATGTTTTAGCCCTAAGATCTGGGTAACTAACAGTTAAAGTTCATTAAACGATTTAACATCTCCGGAAAATGGAAGCATTCTCACATTATGTCCCTGAGAAGTGAGTCAGAGCGGGTGAAAGCTGTCAGGCTCCACATTTTGTACAAATAGTTATAGGTCTTTTGCTATGTTCTAACCGCGTAGGGTAGAAGACGTATCTTTAGACTTAAAAGAATTTTATTGCCAGTTTACATTTGTCGAATGTGCTAATAGAAGTCAACGCTCTAAGGTTCCTCCGTGCTTACGCAGGTTGCTATGGTTACTCACTGTGTAGCTTAAGCTTCTCTGGCTGTCTGAAAAAGAAGCTGTGCTTCCTGAGTCTCGCTTTTTTTCACAGACGTTTAGCTTTTATATTTAACCACACTGCTAAAACGTGGAATAGTGCACGCATTCCCCTTTTCCTCCTTGACCTTTCCTTGGTTCTGTCTTTCGTTTTTATGACCCCTTTCACTTCAAGAGATAAGCCTAAATCTTTTACATCTGCAGCTGCCTCCAGGAGCCATAAAATACACTGAGCAGTTACTGCTTTTTGACTCTTCTCTGTCTGCCAGGAATGCTTCTGTGATCCTGAGGAAATCGTTTTGTAGCCTTTCTTTCTTTCTTTCTTTCTTTCTTTCTTTCTTTCTTTCTTTCTTTCTTTCTTTTTTTTTTTTTTTTTTTGGTTTTTCGAGACAGGGTTTCTCTGTGGCTTTGGAGGCTGTCCTGGAACTCACTTTGTAGTCCAGGCTGGTCTCGAACTCACAGAGATCCGCCTGCCTCTGCCTCCCGAGTGCTGGGATTAAAGGCGTGCGCCACCAACACCTGGCTTGTAGCCTTTCTTATTGTCAAAGAATTTCTGATTTTATGTGTATAAAAGCTGTAGACTTTCAGTACCCGAGGTAGACGAATAAAGAGCAAAAAGCACTCATGGGAGTCCTCTGCTTTTTCAGGGGGAGGGGCAACACTAGCCTGCCTACACCTACATCAATTTTCTCTCTAAACTATCCTCTATTGCAATCGCTCACTGTATTTTTTAGCAACCCTGAATTATCAAAATTCTATTTAAAGGAACACTATTATTACATAAAACCATCACTTCAGTTAAACAGCACATCTTAAGGGGAAATCAGCTTCCATGAGAAAATAACACGGTAGTAAAGGCAGTGGGGAATGCCCCACACTCATTCCCACCATGCTAATACCAGAGAAACAAATGGCAGCTACAAACATGTAAAGGCACAGCAGTACTGAGAGACATTCTGATGCCAAAGCCTTGCCAGTCTGAGATTTGCCCATCAGTGCTTTGATTCCTGATGGACATATCTCTCCAATTTAAGTGCCACCTGCTGCTCCCCAGGCAATAACAGAAGCAGCCTCTGGCTCCTGCCAATACTTGGATTCAACACAGTCCTGAGCAGAAACCATGTGCAACCACATGGTGGTTCACAACCATCCATAATGAGATCTGGTGTCCTCTTCTGTCGTGCAGATATGCATGGAAGCAAGATGTTGTATTCATAATAAATAAATAAATAAATCTTACAAACCAAAAATAACTACTGTGTATGGAGCCAGTTATGGCTGAAACGTTTTGTAGTTGTAATATTAAAATGCTTAATCATATAAAAAATGGGAAACAGGTTGTTTTTTCCTTGTATTCACAGCAATAATTCAATTAAAAATATAACCATGTTGTAATTTTCATATTGCTTGAACATTATGTTGTAATATATACCCTATAAGAGAGAAATAAAGAGGACAAATGGAAATTTTCAGGAAAGATGGAGATAGACGTGTAGTTACCACCCCCCCCCATTTTAGCAGCCATGACAGGCTACCATGTGCTTGCATGACCTTGCCACTCCTGTCCTGGTCACTAAGGTCAGATGCCCTCCTCATGGCAAGGAGCCAATCAGAAATTGTCTGGCAGTGCTGCGCTTTATGGCTCTGGGTGTGCTTTATGGACAACAGTGATGTGCAGAGCATAGCAACCGCCCTGGGAGGGCCCATGGGCCATAACAACCAGTTGACCAATCAGCACAGGGCAGGTCACCCGAACCTGGAAGTGCACCAATCCTGAGACTGTTTCATACCCCTAGACACTCCCCTTATGCTGCCTTTAAGATCTCTGCCTCATGGGTTCTCAGGGTCTTTCTGCAGCCATCTGCCATGGTGGATGGATGAAGGGCCTAAGCTAATGGGTTAGCTTGTTAAACAGCTACAATAAAAGACTCTTTGCGTTTGCATCGAAATGGGCCTGTTGGTGATTTTGGGATTCAAAATCTGGCCAGCTGGCGTTGGTGGCGCACTCCTTTAATCCCAGCACTTGGGAGGCAGTGGCAGGCGGATATCTGTGAGTTCGAGGCCAGCCTGGTCTACAAGAGCTAGTTCCAGGACAGCCTCCAAAGCCACAGAGAAACCCTTTCTCGAAAAACCAACCAACAAAAAAAAAATCTGGCCAGAAGCAGAGATGTAGAAGGACGACGCCCACCAGGAAGTGGTGAGAATGGAGACATGATGAAGGAGTTGGAAGTTATCAGGAAAGAGGAAAAATGGAAACTTCAGAGTAGAACAGAATGAAAAAAAAATAGAACAAGCAACAAAAAGAATAATTTTATTAAATGTTGGGGCCCGAGTATTACATTTTCATATAAATCTCAGCTCATTCCAGGAGCTCTAATCTCCTATTGTCTTTCAGATGTGGGCTAGTTACCTCCAGATGGCCTGGCCACAATGACTTCTAGTTTGCATACAAATAGACCTAGGCTCCTCCTGTCCCCATCATGGGGGCTACTGGGACATCCCTGGGGGCCAGTGAGACATACCTGAAGACATGGTTGACATGTGTTATGGGAGGTCTGAGGATTTGTGTACCTGCAGTCTAGGATCATCTCTAGGGTTAAAAGAAGTGTTTCCTAGTCAGCCCTGTATACATGATAATAGATATCTTCTGCCAGTACCTGGCTTTTAGAAAGCTATTTAAGAGGATGCTTGAATAAACCGGTGTCTCCAGTATGGACTGGACCAAATGTCCAGTGTCTGGACCAAATGTCTCTGTCTGGTTCTTGTTGGGTAGCTAGGACTTCTCTCATCCACACTCCCCCACTCAGGGTGGGACCAGGTACTGTTTGGCTGGTTCCAAACACAGCCCCAAAGATATCAGTCCAAGACAGATGACCCCTGTAGCATAGGGCCTATATAGGCTGCATCCCGGCAATGACAAAAAGCTTTTATCCCTCAAAAAAGAAGTCTGTTTGTTCTTGCTGACTCTGCATCTTGTTCACAGTCTCTCTGACCTGCAGAAAACTGGACCCTCTGCATGTTATCAGATGTGTTTTCCCCTGTGAACAATTAGTGTTCTTTTAACCCTTGTAAGTCAAGTTTTCATTTGGCCAGCGTTGTCTTTATAGCTAGGCCCTGTAACTTGGGCCCTTGAAATCATGTTTCCAAATCCATGGAACTCTGTAGGTCAGCTTCAGCTACATTCCTTAAATCATTTATTTCTACTATCATTTTGGTCGCATTGTCCTGGTTTGGAAGTAGCAAGGGCTCTTGATGGAACATTTTTCATCTCTTGGTATAGGCTCCTTTGTACTGGTTAGAGTTACTCCTCTTTTTCTGTCCTTGTCCACCACTGATTCTTTCCTGGCTAATGAGATCATAATTAACTCCCAAACTTTTGGGAGTCAGTCTGCTTTAAGTATGATAGTAAGATTGTCACAGGTTTCACTTTATTTTCACTAATTAAGTGCTGTGCTGTTTTTGAACTCTGATGCTTTGAAGTGTTTATGGTTGAAGGGCTCAGCTCTGTGTTCAGAGCATGTGCTTCTCAGCAGGATTTCCTTCTTATTGATAAAATCTTGTTCCTTTCTCTTGGCATTCTTGAAATATTTATCACACATTTGAAGAGAAGTTTTATTGTTTGTTCTGGAACTCAATGCTTACACTTCTGAATGTGTGAATATTTTATTGCAGGGATTAGGGTAGCAATGGGATAGATGTTTTTGTGATTCTGCACTGCACAAAGAATTTTCTATCTGGAATATATGGAGCCTCATCATTTGCTAGATACAGTTTTTCTTTTGCCTTGCACTCATCTGGAGACTTGGCCACTTGTTGCTATCTCTGCTGTCTTCTTTGTGAAGTGGTAACTATTCTTTTCACTCTTTTCTGTTAAAACTTGAAGAAGTAGTTATAGGACTCTTTTACATCAGAAAGGGAACCTGTGTCTTGTAGATACGGTCACAAGAGAGAATACCCTGTTTTTTCTTAATAAAAGCATGCCATCTGCATACAGAATATACACTATGCCTTGAAGGATTCTTCCCATTGCTAGAATACTACTAGCAAATCATACCTGAATCATCTATGATATCAGATTAAGATAGTCTTGTTTTTAAATTTAGAATTTTACTCTACCCATGAGAAACTTACAGTGTATGCCACGATTATAGACCTAGATTCTTAGATCCATTGAAAAATCATTCACTGAGTATCTCACTGTTCTCTGAACTGGGGATACATGAAGAGACATGGTGTCTGTCCAGGATGAACATAATATAGGTGGAGTAAACTGTCCTGAAAGTGCAAATGAGTTATACAACCTTTCACAATTCTATGAACTGCATGTCATTTGCTGCTTCATTCCTAATGTTTAGGATTCCAGTAATATGATAGGATAATTGCAATAGAATAGGATAACTGCAATAGAAATAAAATCTGATTGTGGTATGAAGGCACATGGCTCTATCAGAGCATTAACTGAGATGACCTCCAGATGAAGTTGGAGTTTTGTAACTCCCACATTCACATTCATCCTTAACTAGCTTTCTTCAATCCCAGACCTCCTTTCTTATTCAATGCCGAGACATCATAATATAGAAGGGCTCACCCTGCAGTGGACAGGACTGCAGGCATGGTCACTTCTGTGTCAGGTCAGTGAGTATGCTGTGGATAGGACCATATTATGGACTGAGCATTCGTACATCAATCAAGAATCAAAATACAAAATTCCCAGACTTACGAGTAGGTCAGTCTTTCCTCACAGAGAACTCTAGGCTTTGTCAAGTTAGTGACTGAAG